CCGCGAGTATCGCGGGTCCCGCCTCTTGTGATTCTAGAAATAGCAGAAAAATAAAGACTTGCCCGACATAGTGGGTAGAAGAAATGGTGTTATAGTGCTGGATTTAGGAACAAAATACACCCTGTTTCTAAATGATTAGCATGGGATGCAACCTCGTCTTTGTAAGCAAAGTGTTTGCTGATGGCAGAGAAGACACTGCTTGTATCTTCTTTACTGGCAGCATTGTAACTTCCTCACCAACTTTACCTAGGGCTGGACCAAACCTAATGCCTTCCATATCTGCATCACCTCGTACAAGCTGGTGCTGCAGGACCACCAGGCCTTTCGACGGAAGAATTGGAAGTATCTGATCCTGGATGAAGCTCAAAATATCAAGAACTTCAAATCCCAGCGCTGGCAGTCTTTGCTCAACTTCAACAGGTGGGAGCGGGGCGAGTGGCTGGGGCTGTTTTCCAGGCAAGGGCTGAGGACAGGATAGGAGGTGCCTTCTCCCTGAAGATTCTCACCCTCCCGCCTTTTGTGTTTCAGCCAGAGGCGGCTGCTGCTGACTGGAACGCCTCTCCAGAACAGCTTAATGGAATTGTGGTCCCTCATGCACTTCCTAATGCCCCATGTCTTCCAGTCACACCGTGAATTCAAGGAATGGTTCTCCAACCCTCTGACAGGCATGATTGAGGGCAGTCAGGAGTACAACGAGAACCTAGTCAAGAGGCTGCACAAGGTAAGCAGGGTGGGAGTTCAGAGACATTGCCAGAGAGCACTGGAATGTCAGAGGTGGCCTTTGTGATAGGATTTGAGGCTGAGTTTTTGCCCTTTCTGTCCCCACTCTCCATAGGTGTTGCGGCCTTTCCTTTTGCGGAGGGTGAAAGTGGACGTAGAGAAGCAGATGCCAAAGAAATACGAGCATGTCATCAATTGCCGGCTTTCCAAGCGCCAGCGTTATCTCTATGATGATTTCATGGCCCAGGCTACGTGAGTACAAAGGGCTGTGTGGGAATGGGCGTGGGGGGAGGGGGAGTCTGGATTCTTACTGTTTCTGTGAGGTGGGTTTGAGTTAGTTGCAGGGAGCGTGGAAGCCTGGGTTCAATTCAGGGTGTGAGGAGTAAGCTGAGCGTTTGTTCTGTAGCTTCCTGTTCTCCCCTGTGTTCAGCATTGGCAGAGGCACTCCATGTCTTTTGTCTTTTGGCACTGGCATTGGCAGAGGCACTCCATGTCTTTTGGCACCGTTTCACTACCGTAAAGTCTCAGAGCGTGTCTGATTTTCTGTGACGGGTTCCTTTTTCAGCACCAAGGAGACCTTGGCAACGGGGCACTTCATGAGCGTCATCAACATCCTGATGCAGCTTCGCAAAGTCTGTAACCACCCCAACCTCTTCGACCCACGGCCCATCCACTCACCCTTTATCACGGAGGGTATCTGCTTCAACACGGCCTCTCTTGTCCTGCATGCCCTTGATAACGACCCTTTCAAGGCAGGTGCTCCCCCGCTGGTCTGGTGGGAAAGTGGAGTGGTGGAAGAATGATGTCCACTTTCATTGGGGGAGGAGGTTATCCTGAAGGCAGGAGGGTCCTGCTACTTGCTGTGGCAGGCAGGGCTTATTATTCAAATCCAGTGGCTTAAGTATCCCCTGCAGTGGGAGGAGGCATCTCCCGTTTGTTGATCTTGCCTGCTTTTTCCTTCTTCTGTTGTCCTGAAGTAGTCCTGTTCAGGTTGGGTAGCCAAGAGGCGTGTTAAGTTGGCTCTCCTATCTCTTTGGGCTTCACTTTTTACAGCATGTGGACATGGGACCTTTTGACTTGATCAATCTGGAGGGCCGTGTTTCCCGTTACGAGACAGACACATTCCTGCCCAAGTGGAAGGTGTCCAGGAAGCTGATTGAGGAGATTGCTGAGTCCCCTGATCCTCCTCCCAGACCGAAACCAGTCAAAATGAAAGTGAACAGGTATCTGTGTGACACACACTTCCTTTAGTGGGCAGCTTATGCTTGGCGGTACTTTCGGATCTCTCTTGCACAAAGGCTGGGCCCCCTTCAAGTTCCCATCAATCACAGAAAGATGGCACCAGGCATTCATTCATAACCCAAACTCCTCGGCTTTGAAGGATGTGGAGCTTTCTGGCCAAAGGAGGAAGAGACTGATGCCAAGACGGCAGTCTGCCTCTTCCCAGCAGAATGTTGCATGGCAGCATACTGGCTGATGGTTGGGGACGCCATCAAGTAGTCATCCTCCAAAATCCTGATGGGGAACGATCCCTTGACTAAAGCAGAGATAGTGAGGTAGTTTGGCTGAGGTTAACCTAATGAGCGAGCTGCGGAGAATGAAGGTGTTGCAGGATAAATGTCCTGCCCAGTGTTCTAGTCTGAATAGTTTTATTTCCCTCTGTTTCCTGCTTCAGGATGCTGCAGCCTATGCCCAAGCCAGAGAATCGTACTGTGGTGCTGGTGAATAACCCTCGTCCAGTAGCCCCCCTGCAGAGACCCCTGACGCCTATCCTCCCAGAGACACTGACCCCTACTCTGGCTCCCATTCATCATCCAGGCCCGGTCTTGCCAGGGTCCGTGCAACCCCCCACGCTTCCTGTCTCCATTTCTCTCCCCGTGCCGCCTTCTCCAGTCACCATGTCAATACCGGTGCCTCCCTCTGCCAGACCACAGACCCCAACTCTAGTGCCTCCTCTGAGCCAGAACAACACAGCTGCTGCTCTGCTCCACGCCCAGGCGTCTGCTCCACAAGGTAAGGCTTGAATATCCCAGAACAGAGTGGGGAGGAAGACGCTTACACAGGCTTCTCAGTGAAGCCCAGAGCTTTTTCTCTGCAGGGAGTGAGCAAGGGTTTCTTACTGCTTAAATGTATTTGTTTCACATGCATGCGCAAGATTAGAAGCTGAGCTTTTATTATTTTTTTACATTTATGAACAAAGCGACAAGAGCATCTTATAGGACATTTATGAGATGGCAGTCAAAGCCGCAAAGAGGGAGTTCTATGCGGCTACGCTCACGCCCAGCCCAATTGTTTAGAACAATTCAGTCTATAACAGCTCTGCCACAGGGCAGACCAAAAGCTAGGGAATTGGATATTGGCTGTGAGGCATTTGCGAGCTATTTCACAGATAAAGTCTTGGCGCTCCGCCGGTACCTCCCTGCCACAGTTGAAAGAGTGAGCGAACTTGAGGCCCCTTGCACGTCTTCGATTTTGATTTTAGGTTATTTCAGCCCGCTCAGTTTGGAAGAAGTCGACAGATTGCTCACAATGGTACTCCCAAACACATGCAGCTTTGATCCGTGCCCTTCCTGGCTTATTAAAGCTGGCCACAAAGGGTTCCAAGGTGCCCGGGGGCGCTCAAGGAAGCAATGGTCCGCCCTCTTCTGAAAAAAACATCTCTGGATCCGGCCAAGTTGGCCAATTATCAGCCGGTTTCCAATTTGCCCTATTTGGGCAAATTCACTGAGAGGGCAGTGGTGATACAGTTGCAGGGCTTTATGGATGACACTTCCATACTAGACCCCTTCCAGTCCGGCTTCTGCCCGGGACACAATATGGAGACGTCATTGGTTGCTCTGACAGATGACCTCTGAAGGCATTGGGATTGGGGCAGTTCGGCGGTACTGTTGCTGTTAGATCTGTCGGCCGACTGAGCTGGCTGAAGCTGAATCTGACGAAGACGGAGGTCCTGTGCCTGAGTCAGGGCAGTTCGGGGGTAAGGATCCCACTCCCAGCCTTTGGTGGGGCACCATTGGTGCCAGCGCCGGAGGTTAGGAGTCTGGGAGTATTCCTGGACACCTCCCTATCAATGGAGGCCCAGGTAGCAGCCACTGCTAAGTCGGCCTTTTACCATCTTCGGCTGATTTGGTAGCTGGTTCCCTTCCTCAGCCGCAATGACCTGGCTACAGTGATCCACGTGATGGTCACGTCGAGACTAGACTACTGTAACGCTCTTTACATGGGGCTGCCCTTGTCATAAATCTGGAAGCTGCAGCTAGTGTGTAATGCCGTGGCAAGGCTTTTGATGGGCCTTCCTAAATGGGAGCACATCCGGCCTGCGCTGAAGGCACTGCACTGGCTGGCAATAGCATACCGAATCCGCTTCAAGGTGCTGGTACTTACCTTTAAAGCCCTATATGGCCAGGGTCCGACATACCTGAGGGACCGCCTTTCCCCATATATACCCCAGAGAGCACTACAGTCAGGGTCACAACATCGACTGACCATCCCATGCCCTAAGGATGCCAGGCTCGCTGCCGCCAGGGCCTTTTCAGTGGCGGCTCCATACTGGTGGAATGAGCTCCCAGAAGAGATCAGGGCCCTTCGGGATCTTTTACAGTTCCACAGGGCCTGCAAGACGGAGCTCTTCCACCAGGCTTTCAATTAGGAGCCGCCACACCACTACCACCAACATCTGTGGTTATGAGTTGGCCCCAGCCTGGAGATTGAGGCATACCATTGCACGATGCCGAAAGATCACCAAATCGGAAACAATTGCTTGTATGCTATATAGTATGCCATCTTAATTGCTGAAAGACGATTACTATCACTTTGATTATTTGATTGTTTTAAATGTTTTAAATGTTTTAACTCTTGTATATGGTTCTATGGTACTGGGTACCGACTAATGTAAGCCACCCTGAGCCTGTTCGCGGGGAGAGCGGGGTATAAATTAAATAAATAATTTTAAATAAATAATAGTATCACAATAAATGAATAAAAGAAGAGGTTTTTTAAAAGTTGCTTTCTTATGACTTCAGAGGGGAAACTGCTGCCCTTGTTTGGTAGAGAAACTGCAGTGCTGGATCCTCCCAGCCCACGTGGCTGGGAGGTACTGGCTGCTGCAGGGAAGAGTCAGTCAAGGCCAAAAGCGCAGTGCAGCAGTTATTCTGAACAGAAGGGCTCCTGTTGAGGAGAACATGACAAGGCCAGATGACCATGCAAGTCTAAACATCTCCTCTCTTTCCACAGTCCTTCCCATGGCGGCCATGACTGCTGCTCAGCTGATCCCAAACGCTGCTCGACATACCTTACCGCCGACACCTGTTTCTCCCACTGCAACGACTGCCTCCTCACTTAAGCTTGGTATACTGCCAGCTCCTGTGGGGCAGCTGCAGGCTGCTAGCACCCTAGCCGTGTCCACCCTGGGGCAGCCACAGGCCCCCAACGCCCTGGCCATGTCTGCCGTGGGGCAGCTGCAGGGTATGTCTGCCGTGGGGCAGCCGCAGACCCCCAGTACCCTGGCCATGTCTGCATCTACTGTGGGGCAGCCACAGGCCCCCAACACCCTGGCCATGTCCACTGTGGGGCAGCTGCAGGGCATGTCCATTGTGGGGCAGCCACAGGCTTCCAGCACCCAGGCCATGTCTGCTGTGGCCCAGCCGCAGGTTCTCAACACCCTGGCCATGTCCACCATGGGGCAGCCACAGGCCCCCAACACTCTGGCAATGTCTGCTGTGGGGCAGCCACAGGCTGTGTCTGGTGTTGGGCAGCCGCAGGTCATGTCGACCATGGGACAGCCACAAGTCCCCAACAGCCTGTCTGTATCTGCTATGGGACAGACACAAGCCATGTCCGCCATGGGGCAGCCACAAGTCCCCAACAGCCTGGCTGTGTCTGCTATGGGGCAGCCGCAGGCCATGTCTGCCATGCTGCAGTCGCAGGCTGCTAGCGCCCTGCCTGTGTGTGCTGTGGGACAGCCACAGGCTGCCAACACCCTGGCTATGTCTGCTGTGGGGCAGCCACAGGCCCCTAACACCCTGGCTGCATCCACCATCGGGCAGCCACAGGCCATGTCCATTATGGGGCAGCCACAGGCCCCCAACACCCCAGGCATGTCCACTGTGGGGCAGCCACAGACCCCCAACACCCTGGCCATATCCACTGTGGGGCAGCCGCAAGCCCCCAGCACGCTGGGCCCAGCGTCTATGGCACAGCAGTCCACCAGCACCATGGGCTCAGGCACTATTGGAGGGATGCTGAAGCCGATGAATGTTCATCCTGCCGTCCCCGCCTTGCCTGGCTACAACTTTGCAACTGCTGGAGCTCTGCAGCAACGACTTCTGCTGTCCCCAGATATGCAGGCACGGCTCCCCTGTGAGTATGCGGAGGCCAACAGAAAAGCGGGAGCAGGGGCTGGTGGTTGCTGCTGGAGCTAACAGTCTCTTGGTTCACTGTAGCGGGTGAAGTCGTCAGCATTGGGCAACTTGCATCTCTGGCCAACCGGCCCCTCCAGAGCGCTCCGGGCAGCAAACCCCTCACTTTCCAGATCCAAGGCAACAAGCTGACCTTGACGGGGACTCAGGTGCGCCAGGTCACGATGCCTCAGCCCACCCGGCAGCTACCAAGTAGGTATACCCCAAGCCCCATTGGCCCAGTGAGGTCCCTCTCCCGTGGCTCCCATGAGCCTAACTGCATGGTCAGCGGCCTTGTATCTACTGCTGCTGCAGTGTATTACCTGGGATAATAAGTGGGAGGTGAAATATTTGAACGTTCCCTTGCCTGGTATGTTTGTTGTCAGTAAAAACAAAACCTTCCCGAACGTATAAAATCAGCATGTTACAGAGAAGGTTCTAGCATGGCCTGCTCTCTGTTGTGCTAACTTCAAATGTATGGGAAGTTTTTTTTACATGAGGGAGCATTCATCGTCCAGCTTTGCAGTCTGATGTGGACTGAACTGGGTGACGGGGGCATCCCACGAGGCTGGCAATTATGTGTCTTGTCTCTAATCTGCTCTTTGGCTTCTCTTTAATGCTAACGTTGTGGTTTCGGTGGGATGTGCTCCAGAGACTGCTGCATTTCAGCACTAGCGAATAAAATTCTATACAAGTAGCAGCAGCACCACCCCATTTCAGTGGTAGCTGAGTTTCAGCACTTCCTCATTCTCCCCTCTCCAAAAAAATGAGTGGAAAGGTTTTGTTTTCACCCGTCAATGTCTGCCAAGCTGCTTAGCATTTTTGCTTTCTATTCTGCTTGCCATGTCAGAATACTTCTAAGGAACAGAAATGCAAAACATCTTAGCCATGAGTCCACGAGTAGGATGGAGAGCTTGTGAGACAAATGGGCAGGGGAGAGGTGCAGTGTCAGAACCTTGATGGGTACGAAGGAGATGGAATATGTGGGGAGGGAAACAGCCTTGAAATATCAGCACAGTCCCTCTAAGCTCCTGATGCCTCTCTGTGAGCCATCCGGTGACCCGGGGGATACAGGAAACTCCAGAGCCTTGCCTAGCATAGAGGACTACCAATTCCTTGGTGGGATCTCAGCAGGAGGGCTTACATGGGCATTTGGAGCGTTGCCACCACCCAGGGTCCAGACTGGTGACTGAGTTGGCAATTCCCTCTCTTTCCCCTCTTCCTCCCCTTTTCTTCTAGGGAATGTAGTTCACCTGTTGTCTGCTGGGGGGCAGCACCACATCATCAGCCAGCCAGCACAGGTGGCACTGATCCAGGCCATGGCCCAGCAGGCAGGGCAGTCCCCTGTTGGGGTGCAGGCTGTGCCAGGCCACCAGCCGCCCACCATTCTGCCTGCCCCAGCTACCACCACTGCCGCTGCAGCAGTTGCTTCTACGGCAACCATCAGCGTCCCCATTGCTGCCACCCAAGGTTGGTGTTTACCAGAGCCGGAAAACGGGGATTCCTGGATTTTTTTTTTAAATCAACTTTGGCTCTAGAAGGGGAATGTGGTCCAGTGGGTTGAGGTGTTAGGTGGCAGGACTCCTGGGTCAGTAAATGGACTACCTGTGCCTAAAACTCTATTCTCTTGCTCCATTTATTCCATCATCTGCTGCTTGCTCTCCCTCCATTTCCTTTGCCCTTGTGTGTGAGCCTTCTGCCATTCTCTCGTTTACCCTTTCAAATCATTTCCTCAAACGTTTCCTGAATTATGTGAGCTGTGACTTGCCGGTGTGCCCTACTTTTTAGGTGACTCTGTTCCTTGACAAGGGGTCTCCAACCTTTTTGAGCCTGTGGGCACTTTTGGAATTTGACACAGGATGGAGGACATAGCTAAAAGGGGGGGGGGGGGCTGCCCTGGGAGGCAGAGCCAGCCACAAAATGACTGCCACAAGAGGCAAAGCCACCCTCAAATTGTCAGAGTCAGATTATGCATAACTTTAAGAGTAACTTTTCAGTACTTCAGATAGAAGCTCTGTTTAAACAAGATGCCTTTTAAAATGTACATGTATTTTAAGATATTTTCTCGTACACACACGGCTTGCTTTCAGTAACACCATGAAGATCTTTGTGCTGTGCTGGAACCGGCTGCTGAAATGACTTTTTCTGCACAGGCAATCAGATCCACATTGGCCAGTCAGAAGCCCTGCTAGGCAAACCACCATCTGGCCCTGCCCAGTTGGCGGGCTCCAGAAGAGGTGCCAGCAGGCACCGTGGTGCACACGGGCGCCCTATTAGGGGTCCCATCCTAAATGCTTCTTTATCCAATGCCAGTATAGAAGAGTAGGTATCCAGTAACAATAATAGGAGCATAAGAGTGTTCTGCAAGGTAGCCAAGCTCAGCAGGCAACATCTCTCTGCTGTTGTCTTGGTAGTGCCCTCCCCGGCAGTGAACAGCTCTGGTGTGGTGAAGATCGTAGTGCGACAGGCCCCTCGAGATGGGCTGCTGTCCCCCTCTCCTGGCCCACAGCAGCCACCGTTGCGCCCTGCTACACCAACAACTGCTGCTGCTTTGCCTGGCCTTCCGGCGTCTTTGATGGCCCGTGCCCCACTCCCCATGAATCCTGTGCCACCAGTCAGGATACCCACACAGCCGCAGATGCCGCTGCGCCCATCCACACCAGCTCCCCTCCAGGCCCTTGTGAGGCCCACCCTGCGAATGCTACAGGCGCCAAACCCCAGCGTGGAACAACAGATGGGTAAGCATATCTCCTGCCATCCTGTGTAGGACTTTGTGCTTCTGAGGGGGTTCCAGGCATGGGGAATCCTTTCTGGTTCTCAGAGCTGAGAGCCAGCATCGCACCCATGGGTGTCAGTTCTGTGCATGGCTTGAGGGGGATGCTTGAAATCCCCAGGCACCAGCTTCCAGGTGCCTTGTGCCTTCTGCCCCGTGCCTGCCTTGCATTAACTCCTCTGTTTTCCTTCCAGTGTCAGCTTCCCTGCCTTCCTCCATGGCTCCGTTCGCTCTCTCCCCAGCTGGCACTGTCGCTGTCAGCGCCTCCCCTGCCATGGCTCCCCAGACCACCTCAAGCCCAGTGCCCAGGGAAGAACCAGAGGTGCTGGTGCTCCGCTCCACAACACCCACTCCACCTCCCCCTTCGATCCTTGCCCCGCGGCCAAGGCGACAGCCGCCTCCCCCGCCTCGATCTCCCTTCTATCTGGTGAGTTGCTTGGCTAGGGACTGGGACGCTAATTGGAACTGGTCGAGTACTGTGGAGGAGGGATGGTACAGACTCCGGGACTCTTGTGGTGAGGGGGGGCCTGGGCTGTCCTCCAGCTTGACTGGTTTTCATTTCTCTGACTTGAAGGAATCACTTGAAGATAAGCGGAAAAAGCAGAAGGAGGAGCGCCTGGACCGGCTCTTCCGCCTCAACGAGCAGCACTGCAACCTCGCACCCATGTATGGCACGGAGGTGCTACGCTTTTGTACCCTCTTCCCCCCTGCGCCTGCCTCGTGGAGGAATGAGGAGGGGGAAAGCGACGAGCAAGTGGAGGCAGCTCCAGACATAGAACCGAAGGGCTGGAGAGGAGCCAGCTATGCCCACTGCTATGCCGCTCAATTACAGAGGGATCCCCAGAGCCTCGCAGCCTACTGGCAGCGCTCAGAGACCTTGGCCCAGGCAATCCTGACACCCCAGCAGCGCATCGAACAACTGACAGACATTATAGAGAGGTACCATTTCCCCTGTGAGCTTGGAAACTGAGGTGGGGCTTAGGTTTGGTGTAGTGGTTAAGTGCGCGGACTCTAATCTGGGAGAACCGGGTTTGATTCCCCACTCCTCCACTTGCTGGATGACCTTGGGCAAGCCGTAGTTCTGGCACAGCTGTTCTTGAAAAAGAGCAGTTTCTCTCAGAGCTCTCTCAGCCCCACCTACCTCACAGGGTGTTTGTTGTGGGGAGGGGAAGGGGAAGGAGTTTGTAAGCCACTCTGAGACTCCTCTGGGTAGTGAAGGGCGGGGCATAAATCCAGACTCTTCTCTTCTTCTTCTTCTAAAGAGAGAGTGTATCATTGCCCGTGGTTGTTCCGAATTGTTCCTTAGGCGTTCTGGTTCCGATTCCCTCAGGGGAAGCCCAGCAACCACTCTGCCTCCCTGGTCCCCCGAGGTGGCCTGGCATCTCCCTTCCTTGTCTCTGCAGGTTCATTTTCGTTATGCCTCCTGTGGAGGCTCCTGCCATCACCATGCACACCTCTCACCCGCCCCCATCGCTCCTGCTCCAGCAGGCTGTCTTCAAGGAGACACTGCGCCAAGAGTTCTCATCCCGTGCCAGTTGTCTGCATCGCATTGTCTGCAACATGAGGACCCAATTCCCAGACCTGCGCCTCATCCAATATGACTGTGGTAGGTGCTGCAGGGCTGGACCTGCTTGAGACTGGGAGTGTGGGGCCTGCCCAAGAAGGCTGGGCTGGGCTGTCAGGACAGGGGGAATTGTGCCTAGAACATCTCCACCAGTAAGGCTTGCGGCCTGTATGCCTTTGGCCCAGTTTCTTTCTCTCCCCCTCCCCCCCCCCGCGCGCCTCCAGGGAAGCTGCAGACGTTGGATGTTCTGCTGCGGCAACTTAAAGCTGGAGCCCATCGAGTCCTCATCTTCACCCAGATGACTCGCATGTTGGATGTGCTGGAACAGTTCCTCAATTACCATGGGCATATCTACCTGCGATTGGACGGGAGTACTCGTGTGGAGCAGCGGCAGGTAGGTGATGGCAGCTTGCTCTCACCTGTGACATTCTGAGGGCTTTTGAGAGTCATAGTTGCAAGCCTTTCCATAACAGACACAAAAATCTTCATGAACCAGCTCCCCTTTTGGGAGAAATTTGTTCCAAGTTTGTATCAAAAATCCAAGAGTCTGAGGAGAAAAGGCATTTTGGAATAAAGTTTACAAACACTTGTGCCTGCCCATTTGTGTACCTAGTATAACGTTTTTGAGGATTTCTGTTGTCATTGGCAAAGAACAATTTAAAGACAGGAGGGATGATGGAATGGACAAGTGCAGAACAAATGTAGGAAGTCCATCCTGTAATTTTGATGATTGAAATTAGTTTTCTGCATTGTAGAGTTAAATGAATTGTAGTTCCTATACCGGGTGCCACACTGACTTGTTAAGTGTCTTCCTCTTCTAAAGCTAGGGAAATAAAACCATGGAATTGCTATGCTGGCCTTTCTTGACTCTGGGTTCTCATCCAATCTTGGCAGGCCCTGATGGAGCGTTTCAACGCAGACAAGCGCATCTTCTGTTTCATCCTGTCAACGCGCAGTGGGGGCGTAGGGGTGAACCTGACCGGTGCTGATACTGTGGTGTTCTATGACAGCGACTGGAACCCCACCATGGATGCCCAGGCCCAAGACCGCTGCCACCGTATTGGGCAGACACGGGATGTTCACATCTACAGGTTAGCTGGACTCCCCTTTGCCACTGGCCAAGAGAGTGTGCAACCGTAATGGAGAAAGCTGGACTCACTCCCTATGGAAGGTTTGGAGTATGTTTGTGGGTGGGAATGGTTCCATACCACAGAGGTTATGTTCACAAGGGGTCATTACAGCTGACTCTCTCATTGCCTCTTCAGATTGATCAGTGAAAGGACCGTGGAGGAAAACATCCTGAAGAAGGCTAATCAGAAGAGGATGCTGGGAGATATGGCCATTGAGGGGGGCAACTTCACCACAGCCTATTTCAAACAGGTAACCATAGTAATATGTGACTGTTGTAGAGCCTGAGTGCCAAACTGCATTTAGCGCAGCTCATTGGATTGTCGGTTTTGCACTGATGTTGCTTCAAAGCTTGGGTTCTGAAGGAGCCTCTTACCACTGTAGTGCTGCTCTTGAGACAGATGAATAGCAGTATTTGTTATGGGAAAGACAAAAGAATCCTGAAGCATGATAGAGATAAGCCAGTTCAAATCTTCTTTGAGCTCTGACATCCTTGGTGTTCCGGTGGACTGGGTCTTAGTGGCAAGGATATATAAAGAATAAAATGACCGGTGAACAGTTTGTACAAAAGGAGAACAATATGCAGTGAACTTGATTAAATGGATCGAGAGAGAGGTTGAAAATGCTGGGAGAGATGGAAACAGAGGAGACTGATGAGAATAATGTGTTGTGTGAGTTGAATATTGAACAGTTTCTTATTATATTGAAGGAGGCAGTTAAAGAGGGATGTAAGCAGGTAAGCGCTGAAATTTTGAAAAAACTAGATATCAGCCAGGAAGAAATTGGAAAGCACGAAGAGCGAGAGCAATCCAGTTTGAGAGAGACTCCAGGTGATTTCAATAAGGAGAGAAATGTGGAGCCTAAGGGAGAAACGCCAGAATTTACACAGGAGAAGGAACTGTTGGCAAGGGAAAGGGCTG